GTTTAGGGCTTAGGGGTTTTGGGGTTGAGGGTTTAGGGGTTTGGGGGTTTGGGGGTTTTGTGCTTTGGGGTTGAGGGTTTAGGGGTTTTGGGGTTGGGGGTTCTGGGGTTGGGCTTTAGGGTATCGGGCTTAGAGTTCAGGGTATACTGTAGTTTTCCCTCTCGCTTTGTATAGGGTTTCGGTTGTTAGGGTTAAAGGGTATCGGTTTTGGGGTACCAAAACGGTGTTATTGGGTTTAGAGTTTTAATATGTATAGGGTTTAGAGTGTAGCTTTTTTTCTTGGGGGGGTTTAGGGTCTGAGGCATGGGAGGAGGACGCCGGGATCCTGGAATTGAGTTTCATGTTTTGCTAGAGGTTCAGGGTTTATAGGGCTCCGGGTTTAGGGTTTCGGGTGTAGGCCTTGTTTCCTTACCGAACAGCAGTTAACCTTTCAGTTGTGCTTTAAGCGAGTACAATCCCCCAAAGGTTCAAGGTTGCCTACTAAGCCTCCTACAACTCCAAAACACCTAACACACTCTAATCAGAAGCTCCCGTGGCAAAGGAATTCAGAAACCGAAAGACCCGAAACCCTAAAACTCTAAACCCTAAACCCCTTAACCCTAAGCCCTCAACCCCAAACCCGAGAACCCTAAGCCCTAAACCCTAAGCCCAAAGCTCTACGCCCTAAACACCCTAAACCCCTATAAACCTGAAGCCTTGAACCCGAAACGCCTAGACTTCGCGAGACCCGGCCTGAGGAAGAGGTTGTAGGTCAACAGGCGCAGGACCTAGGATGTGGCTGTTCAGTTTTACCCACTGGGCAGAAGTTTTAGGGTTTCGGGTTTAGGGGTTTGCGTTTAGGGGTTTAGGGGTTTAGGGTATCCACGGTTTGGGTTGTTTTTTGCCACCTCTTCTCCACCTGCCTGGTTAAGTTAGGTCGACTGCCACGTTTGGCGGAGGCAGTTGCTTGCTGTAGTGGCACACCCAACCTTCAAACCTCGAAAACCAACTACCCATGCTTATCAATAAATAGCCTTAGAGACCCATACAGCCCACATAAGCCCTAAGCCCTAAACCCTAAACCCTAAAACCCTAAACCCTAAAATCCTAAACCCTAAACCCTAAAACCCTAACCAACTACCCACGCTTATCAACACCTCGGCCTCGCAGCGCAACACCCATCGGAGCAGAGCTCGACAACAGGAAGGCATGCAGAACTTCAGTCAAACAGCACTCTGGTGGAGGATACCCTAACAGCGAAAACTACTCCCATCTAGGCAGCACACCTCAATCGACCCCCTCAGTCCAGAGCTGTCCGCGACGGCGAATTTGGTTCACAAGCAGAGTTTGTGTATACGAGCCACTACCCATCCAGATAACAAATTCACAAGGAATCGCGTAGAATACAAGGGTGGGGTCGCTTACGGGGGCATTGATGCTGAACTCGGAGTTGTATCCACTCTGCACAGAAGACACGACCAAAAAGAGTGACCTGCCAACAGCTCATGCACGTTTTAGGGTTTAGGGTGTTCAGAAGTTTTAGGGTTTAGGGTCTAGCTAGGGGTTTAAGGTTTAGGGTCTAGGAGGTACATACTTTTTGGGATAGCTATATTATACTATATTATATTATATCATATCATATCATATCATATCATATCATATCATATCATATCATATTATATTATATTATATTATATTATATTATATTATATTAGTTTTCGAAGAGCCAAAGGCACTCAGGATACGTGGTGGCCATGGCTGGCTCGGCCGCTGTGCCCGAGATGTCGATGTCGTAAGCTAGATCTGACAGAAGGCTTCGGGTTGTAGGGTTTAGGGTTTAGGGTTTGCAGTTTCGGGACCATTTCTTCAGAGCCAGTTCTGGATACAAGAAACAGGCATAGATACGATCCAACAGGCTTTTGTAGACCGCACATGCTAGCCACCACTGTGACTAACACCCGGTTTTTCGTTGGAGGTGGATCCTTCCGAGCATGTGTGGGTGTAGAAGTGTTAGGTTGACCCGCTTTAAACCCTTACCAACGCAACACGTGAGGCTCAGCATGGAAGAAGACTGGAGACGCAAGGCTTGGATTTCAAGTCTGGCTTATTGGGAGTTTCCAAAATTTGGGGGTACCTTATTTTGCGGTCCTTATAATAAGGATCCTACTATTTGGGGTACTATATGAGGGTCCCCTATTTTCGGAAACCCCTTTATGTTGGCTCGGTATCGTCGTTTGTAAATAAACAGTCCCCTCATGGCAGCCAGCTGGCACAGAAACATCAAATCCAACGACTTGTCTAGAGTTCAGAGTGTAAGGGTTGAGGGTTTAGGAGTGTTAGGGTTGAGGGTTTAGGACCGAGGTTTAGGCTGTAGGATGCAGAATTTGGGCCTTTAGACTTTAGCCCTCGCTGCTTCACCTCCCGCAACACCCTCACCCCTGGACCCCTCCCTCCGATCCCGGGCCACAATTGCTATGGCATCAAGCTTCATTCAACACCCACAGAAAATTTCTACAAGCAGGTTGAGGGCATCTAGAACGGGAGGACCCCCAAACTTTAAACTAAAACCCTCAACCCTTAACGCAAACCTCTGAACCTGAAGTCTCCACACATCTACAATATTCCTGCTCGCCTGGCGGCAGCACCTCACCTCGCACCAGCACCTGGTTGGCTTCGGGACGTCACGCTTTCTTTTCTTTGAGTTGGGGAAGGGTGGTGGGACAAACCAGGTGCAAAGCTTCAACCCGATCCTCATGCTTGTTTTCGGGACTGTTGAAAAGATATTGGGATGAAGGGTAGCCGGAAGTACCGAAGAGTTGGTGTAGTGCAGGTCTGATGAGTCACAGACTCCCAGAGTCGTCAGCCCCAAAATCTTTGCAGAAGCTCCACAATCTCTAGAAGCTCTGCTGAAGAGAACGAAAGGCATATGTAAAAACTTTATGTGGGGTCTAGAGCCAAAAATCTCCATACGTCCCGAATGTCCACGGAAGACAGGAAGACTCAGAACCTGCCTGACCTAGAGAACCAAGGCCCAACCTTCTTCTGCCTCCCAGCACCCTGTAAGCCTGGAAACCCGCATACTTTGCCGGCCTTCGGGACCTCGTCGACAGGGGCTGCCAGGTGCGGACAGGCATGCCTTCGCTTGAAAGCTCCGAAGTTAAGACTGCAGGCAAGACTGAGTTAAAGTTTAAGGTCGGCTTACGGCTTCAAGATTTTACGGTGTTCGTGTCTCATTTGCCGGAAGCGGCTGCTGATCGGGAGAAGGGGTAATACACAATTCAGTGATCCAAAAGTAGCTCCACCGTACCATTTCCCTCATGCGGTGGAGAATGCATTGATGATGCTATCGCGGTCTCAAATATCAAAACCTCATGGACCATTCCTGGTTCCGCAGCGACGTCTTTATGGGCGAAGTGGTTTCTGGTATTTCTGGCTTTGCTCAATAAATCATGTGGCATCGGGATTCCGTTCACACGTCCTTGACGCAAGGAGCTCGGTCAACACCTACAGCAGTTTAAATCGGTGTTGCTGAAGTGGTTGGATCACTGCAAAGCAGGATTCCCTCACGGCATCACCACTGGTAGGACTGTACTCCACGAGGACCTCCTGAGAATATGTAACTAGTGCTACTAGTGCACTGATAGTGTCCCTGCATCAACCCCAGATTCACTGCAAGGACCAAGTTCTTTAGCCCTGTTCAAGCTTCGCGCCCGCTCGTGAGGGCAGGTTGCGGCATCAGCAGCAAGCGCCCGCGCGCAGGGCTCACTGCAGCAACCTGGCAAGGGACCATTCCAACTCTCCTTTGGATCTAGATTCTGAAGTGGAAAAATTGCAGGTCCCCTAGAGCAGAACTTAGCGAACATCGGCTGAGATTGGGGCTTCAGTGAGTTCATGGCTGCGGCTGAGTCAATATTTTCGGGGCTTCCGCAGGGTCTCGTGATTCGGAGTCAGGACGCGGCGCGGGTTATCTGCTTGCGAGAACGCCTGCATCCCATGCTAGCTTCAAGCTTTGTAATTCCTCATGGTTATCTCTTTGGTCAGGCTTTCGAAAACTACCGAAGGTGATCTTGATTTGTAGGGGTGCGGGGGTACCTAGTCTTGGGTCCTTCGATGCTCTAGATAACGCGCTCCTAGACCCTTACACCCCAAAACCCTAGCCACAAAATCACAACCCCTGAAGCCTTGAACCCTTAAACCGCATGTGATGTAGGGGCCGTAATGATTAGAGACACGTCACGGGGTGCATAACAATACTCCAATTATGCAAGGACTTCTTCAGACCCCTACATCAGGCCCTGCAGTACTGTAATATAAGGGCCTTAATGATTCGCACGAACAGGGTTCTGGCGTGTATTAACGCATAGTTGTTACATAAGGACTATGCGGGGATAGTACTTAGGGGCTGAGTACCCTAGCCCAAAAAAGGTTGACCTTTTCAATTATAGTAGGATTATATAAGGCCCAAAAGGTTAAAGGTTACCTACTCAGCCCCTGAGAATATCACCTTCGATTGAAGAAGGCCTCCGCTCTCTCGCCCGGGGCGAGGCCACCGCTGGATGCCAGCGTCTCGTCCCCCTCCAAACACTCCAGGAAGGTCGTCTCGCCTTTTCAGGGGTTTCGGGTTGATGGTGGCCTGTTCTGGTTCAAGGTTGAATAGGGTTTAGGGTTAGGCTGGTTTTTGAAGGTTCAGGGTTTAGGATTTCAGGGGCTTGGGGCTTATGTAGTGCAAGGGTTTAGGATCAGGGTAGAATTCATAAGGGGGTAGGGTCGAAAAGTTTGGAAACTATGGTTCAGCTGTTTATTGGGGCTCAGGGTTAAAGGTTTGTTGGGTGAGTGTTTTCGGATGAGGGCGGTTAGGGCTCAGCGTATAAAGTTGTGGGCTTGGGTTTAGGACCTGGGGGAACGGTGTGAAACAAAGCCCTACAAGGAAGCGACTTTCTCAGTGTTCAGCTATGCGTGGATTCCAATGACGGTCCGAGGCACCACCACTCCGGCAGTCACCTGGGCATGCAACGTCGTCGGGATGCAGGATGAAGGGTGGATAGGTTAGGAGATGAGAAGCTTTCTCGGGCGAATCACGCAGATTCCTGCCGTTTGGATATGTGAACCATTTATGCAACACTTCCTTGCCCAACTGAGCCCTTTTTCTTCAACCCAACTACAAGGACTAGCTTTGCAGCATCGGCGCTGAGGTAGAGCAGGAAAGTGTATGTGGAGCGAAGCTTCCCCTCCGTCCTGGGGAGGTCTACGTGCGCCGGGAGGAAGCCTCCTGGAGCGTGGCGCAGCTGCTCGTGGCTTCGTGGCTTCAACGGCTTCACGGCTCCAGGAAGCAACATTCTATAGCGGACGATGCCGCTCCTGGCTCCGGGTAGATCAAGAAGCGCATGTGCGGCATCGCTGCCGCTGCGTCTGCGAGCTGCGCAGCTCGCACTGCTTCGTTTAACGCGCCGGTGAGCCAGCCCTCTACCTTTGCAACAAAGCCACTTACCCTGTGTGTTTTGGGGTCTGCAATCTCTGAGATCGAAGAAGCCCACGAACCCAAACACTACTGCATCACCCCGAACCAGTGCTTCCACAATCAAATGTTGGAGGCTTTTTTTCATAGCTGTCGCGGCTTTCTCGGGTGAAAATGCGCTTGGTTATGGGTATCCGAAGGTGAATTAATTAATAACTAACAACCTGCTCACCAATCATCCAAAAACCCGGCCCTAAACCCTAAACCCTAAACCCTTATGATTTAACCCTGAGCATCGAAGCTGCATCATGGTAGTAGGCTCGATCGGTGGGAGATGCCTTCTGCTTCGGCGCGAGCGGCAGCCTCTTCCAGACTGCTGCGTCATTTTGTGGCTGAGGATTTGGGTAGTTCTCAAAATTAGGGTCCGCAATATAGTACGGCACCCTTATAAAAAGGACCCTAAAAGGGACCCTAATTTAGAAAACTACCCATTTAGGCATCTCGGGCTTTAGGCACGTGAAGGGGGTCAACGGTTCGAGAGTTCACTGAGATTTCGGCGGACTATTGCAATTGAAGTCTTTGTCGTCCGGGGCCTCTTCCACAGCTCGTCTAGCCGCACCAGAAATGATTCCTCGAAGAAATTGTCCACCACCGTGGTGCCGGCTCCAGCGTGGCCCACTCCCAGAGGTATGACTCTGGTCACCTCGAAACCAGGGCAGTTCGCATCTTCCCACGCCCCGCTTTACAAAGCCTTCTACCAGGAGCCCTGCCAAAACGAATTTCGGGATGTGGCTTGAAGTTGTGGCCTCACGTCCCAAGCCACAACCCAAAATCAACACCAAACAGACCAGAGTCAGACACTAAGACAACCGCAGCTTTTCCAAATCACGAAGGCCAGTTAACCCCTCTGGCCTGCACCTTCTCGCACCTGCAATCCACGGGCACCCGGGCCAGGGAGCCGCAGCCGGACATCTCCGGGCTGACCTGCGATTCCAAGTGGAACTTGCAACTCGCTATTATCATAATTTCCAGAGCTATACCGGTGTAGAGATAGCACCCCTTCTAGCCGATACTTGTAGCGCAGAAAACCGTGGCGAGAAGGATGCTTATGGTCAACGCCCCATTAGAATCATGATGCCCAGGTATAATGATCACTGTCGTTGTCACAACCATCCTTGTCATCGTCAACACCGTCACCACCCTCGCCATCTCCATCATGTGTAGAAACTCCACCAAAATGATTTCGGTGTGCAACATCGTCACTTTGATTCCACGCTGGCTCAGCGTCCGCCATTGGCATCAGCGTCATGACTGGTCGAAAACTGGCTGCCAAGGTTCTCCAGGTTAACAACAGATGATGTGACATAGCATCAACCTCAAAAGACAATCGTCTGCAGCAAGGTCGGCAGCAACAATAACATCAACAGCAGCAGCTAACATCACCACGATTCTCTCCACGACAGTAGCATCGCCATGATTCTCGTCATCGTTGTGATTGCATCGCTCTCATTCTGGATGCGGGTGAGACTTTGCCGCCATCACGGGTGCACACCCGAAAGTCTAAAGCCCTGCTCCTACAAGCTGTGTTCTGCACCCAAGATTGTACTCTGCAGAGCTAACCTCGACGCCACAGACTTGTCGAAACTTCCAACTTTCCGTACGTTGCAGAGCATATAACATGCTAATACCCAGGTAAGGTGTATTGTGTATACTCAAACATGTGTGGCTGTCTGACCTTGCAAGCAAGCAAAGACATCAGCGAACGGCTCCCACAAATCAGTGGCCTGAGCTCCTGCCGCCGCAAGGGCTGCCATAGCTTCGCGACTTCCCCCCAACTGGGCTGCGCGGCACACACCTTGGGGTGTGTTGCAGGCCTTCTGTTGCTTAAAATGCCTTATTATCCGATCTGCTTTGGCAGAGCGCCGGGTCTGGTGTACAGCCTCGGTCATAAAGGGTTTTGGTATCCGCTTTTGTCCATTGGTCCACGGGATAAGACGGTTGATATGCGATGGTTGATATGAAGCTCTGCAAAGTCTTTTTGTGGCCCTGGTGTTCTGATATAGCGTATGGCGTATGGCATTCGTCCGACCTCGGAGTTCTTGCATGCTGGATGTGTGTGTGTGTGTGTTTTTTTTT